CAACCTAAATGTCCATCAGTAGATGAATGGATAAAGAAGATGTGGTACATATACACAATGGAATATTATTCAGCCATAAGAAGAAAACAAATCCTACCATTCGCAACAACATGGATGGAGCTAGAGGGTATTATGCTCAGTGAAATAAGCCAAGCGGAGAAGGACCAAATGATTTCACTCATATGTGGAGTACAAGAACAAAGGAAAACTGAAGGAACAAAACAGCAGCAGAATCACAGAACCCAAGAATGGACTAATAGTTACCAAAGGGAAAGGGACTGGGGACGATGGGTGGGAAGGGAGGGATAAGGGCAAGGAAAAAGAAAGAGGGCATTACGATTAGCATGTATAGTGCGTGGGGGACAAGGGGAGGGCTGCGCAACACAGAGAAGACAAGTAGTGATTTTACAGCATCTTACTACGCAGATGGACAGTGACTGTGAAGAGGTATGTGGGGGGGACTTTGTGAAGGGGGGAACCTAGTAAACATAATGTTCTTTCTGTAATTGTAGATTAATGATATCAAAATTTAAAAAAAATTTCTGTAGCTTTACTGTAAGAATACAGTTACATAATACATGTAACAGACAAAACGTGTTAAGTGTATGTTATCAGTAAGGTTTCTGGTTAATAGTAGACTATTAGTAGTTAAGTAGGGAATCAAAAGTTACACGTGGATTTTTGACTGCACGAGGGTATCAGGGCCCCTAACCCCCACATTGTTTAAGGGTCAACTATAGTTACTTCTTTTCAGGCTGTTTAGTGAGAGCATTACTTTACTGGAATTAAAGACTGAATTTTAATGATTTTAGACATTTCTAAAATGAAAATTGATAATTTTTGTGATACTTGGAAGAACTGTTAAATACAATTTAGAAACAAATTTCTGTAGCATGGTATTACATCTTTCTTGAGTCAAGATACAGCTGTTTATTTTTCATAGGACATTAAAGGGCTCAGCAAAAAAAGAAAGATGTATCCTGAAGATAAACCTTTATCATCTGAGTCCTTATCAGAATCAGATTATATTGAGGAGGTAAGTGTATGATCAAATCCATTTTCTCCACTTTAAAATGTTTAGTTTTTTGATTTAATAAACATGACTAGTAAAAAGAAATACTTCATAAATACTTAATTTACTCACTTTTCTAGTATGATGCTCTATAAAAAACAAATGGAAGTTGTTACATTTCAAAATAAGATCTGCATTTTTCCTGAACATAAATATATGGCTGTTCTTTTGATAATTAACCATATTTCCAATCTAATGGTTAGATTGGCAAATCTAAGATATTACTTTAAATCTAAGATATTACTTAAAAAAATTTTTTTATTGTGCTACCATTCTGATTACATCAAAGATGCTGTGTAATGTGTAGAGTAGCAGAACCCAGCATTCTCTTGTTTTTGTTTGGAACTATTACTTGGCAAGTAGAAAGATAATGAAGTAGAGGAGAATTGGTGGCATGATCTCAGTTTTCCTATCTAGGAAATAAAGGATTAGGTAGTCTGTAGTTCTTTTCATCTCTAATAACCCTATCTTAGATTTTATACTCTATTAGAATTATATTCCATTCTTAGTTAATTTTAGGTCTGTAAGGTATCATCTTTAAAGTATTTCTCTATTGGACTTGGTCTCCTTACTTGTAAAATAGGACCACTGCCCCCATTTCATAGCATTTTATAATGTCCCCTGAAATGAAATTTGTGGCTAATATAACCTAACTA